CAGCATGCCGCCCAGTTTTCACAATTAAACTAGTCCCATTTGCCTGTATTTTGTCCGTATCCCTCCATACCTATCCCATCCACATACCTGTCTATGTACCTGACCCGATGAGCTGAAAGGCCCCCCATGTGCCATATGACTCTCTAACTGTGACACAAAGCAATCCCGGGCATGCTGGTGCAATCCTGTATCACTGATAAAGAAAGGAAGTATCTAGTGCAATGATCTGTTCCTGTTGTTGTCCTCCAGCCAACTTCGTGCTGTGCTGGCTTTGAGACTTGTCCTCTTACTTGTCTCCAGCTGGTGTGAGTGACTACACCATAAGGAGCAGGGTGTTTGGCAGTGTTTCCCATTGTGCCCACAGTCCATCAGCTTGCTGGGGTGGGCTCGATTATGAGGGGTCAGGGGATAGGATACAGGCCTATGCTTCATGACAGCTTAACAAGGCCTACCAGCATGGCTGCAACATTGACCAATTGTCACAAAGAAAACTACAACAACACCTCATATTTCACAGCACCCTTTCGATACAGTAAAATGTGCCCAAACCCCTTTGCAGGAAAGTTATTTGACAACATTTGACACCCAGCCAAAAATTAAATGAGACATTTGGACGATTGTCCAAAGGCTTGGGAAAAGAATGTTGGTTTTCAGGAGTGTCTTTAAGGAAGAGAAGAGACAGAGAGGTAGAGGAGATTTATTGAAGGAATTCCAGAGCTGAGGGTTTTGGTCAATGGGAAATCTGGGCACCAAGGTGTAAAGTGATGAACATCAGAAATCCTCCAGAGCACAGACACCATTGGAGAGTTGAAGGATTGAAGAAGGTGACAGGGACACAAATGGACATATGAATTAAGAGCAGAAAGATTAGGCCTTGTGGCCCCTTCAGCCTGTTCTAGCAGTCAAAAAGATCACGACTGATCTGATTGCTTCACATTTCCGCCTACCCTCCTAACTTTTCACCCATTTGCTTTTCATAAATCTCTGTAGCTCTGCCTCAAAAAGTCTCTGCCCCCACTGCCTTAGTTTCCACCCTCTGCAGCTTCAACAGTTGCATGGACTGTGACAAATCTGTGACCTTGAGAGGAGATTCAAGGAAGGAGAACTAAATAGTATTTTAGGAAATGAAGGTTGGAGACCAGCAGGTAGGAACAGAAAGAAAACACTAAGATTATATCAACATTCAAGGCTAGATGTTACAAAGGATTCAAATATGTCAAAACTAAAGGCTCGGTGTCTAAATCTGTGCAGCATTCATGATAAAGTAACCAAATTGACCAAGCACAATGATATGAAAAATTCTGTTCTAATAACCATTCTAAAGATGTGGACACAGAATAGTTAGGATCAGGTCTTGAATACTGAAGGGTATCCAACATTCCAGGAGAATAGAAAGCTCAGATTGATGGAGGGTTGGCATTATTAATCAAGGATGACCTTGGTGTAACAGTTAGCAATGGCCTTGGTTCAAGCAATCAGCGTGTCAGTTTGGGTGGACTGAGGAATAGTATGGGGAAAAAAGTCACTGGCGGAATTGTTCTCTAGATCCCTAACAGAAACCACAAGGTGAGACAGTATTGAGTATTTGTGATAAAGAGATGGCAATAATCAGAAGTAATTTTATTCTACATATAAACTAAAAATATTGACTGTACTAGAGTCATAGAATTATAGAGTCGTGCAGCACGGAAACAAACCCTTTCGTCCAACTCATCCATGCCAACCAGATATCCTGAATTTATCTAGTCCCATTTGCCAGCATTAGGCCCATGTCCATCCAAACCCTTCCTATTTATATACCAATTCAGATGCCTTTCAAATATTATAACTGTACCAACTTCCACCACCTCCTCTGGCAGTTCATGCCACACACGCACCACCCTCTGCATGAAACAGTTGCCTCTTACGACCCTTTTAAATCTTATCCCTTTCACCTTAAACCTATGCCCTCTAGTTTTGGACTCCCCTACCCTCAGGAAGAGACCTTGACTATTCACCCTATCCATGCCCCCCCATGATTTTATAAACCCTTATAAGGTCACCCCTCAGCCTGCAATGCCCCAGGGAAAATAGCCCCAGTCTATCCAATCTCTCCCTATAGCTCAAACCTCCAACCCTGGTAACATCCTTGGAAATCTTTTCTGAATGCTTTCAAGTTTCGTAACATCCTTCCAGTAGCAGGGAGACCAGAACTGAATGCAGTATTCCAAAAGTGGCCTAATCAATGTCCTGTACAGCTGCAACATGGCCTCCCAACTTCTATACTTAATGCACTGACCAATAAAGGCAGGTGTACCAAACGCCTTCTTCACTACCCTGTCTACCTGTGACTCCACTTTCAAGGAACTATGAAGCTGCACTGCAAGGTCCTTTTGTTTGGCAACACTGCCCAAGACCTTACCATTACGTGTCTTAAGTCCTGCCCTGATTTGCCTTTCCAAAATCAGCACCTCACATTTATCTAGATTAAATTCCAACTGCCACTCTTCAGCCCATCTGATCAAGGTCCCGTAGTATTCTGAGGTAACCTTCTTTGCTGTCCACTACACCACCAATTTTGGTGTCATCAACTGGCTGGGGAGTTTATAGAATGCTTTTGATAGCTTCTTAGAGTAGTACATTTTGGAACTGACCAGAGTACAGGTCATATTAAACTTGGTATCAGGTAATTTGACAGTGTTAATAATTACCTCAGAGTAAAATCGTGCCCCCCCATCAAGTAGCAGTGACCACAATAGAGTTAAACCTTGCACCCTGTTGGAAAGAGAGAAGTGAGTCTAAGACTGGTATTTTAAACTTAATAAGGTCAAATAAACAAGTGTGGAAGCTCAGTTTGCTAATGTGTACTAGGATACTAGTAGAGGATCAAGGGAGACACAGTGGCAGATATAGTTGGACATTTCAGAAGACCCTGAATATGTGTATTCCTGTAGAAAAGTTCTAAGACAAAGACCCACCCTCCGTGGCTAATTACAAAAGTTAAGGAAAGTATCAAGCTTAAGGAAAAAGCATATAATTGTGCAGTGATGCACGGCAGCTCAGATGAGCAGTCAAATGGAACAAACAGCAGAGAAATACGAAAAGGTTAATCAGGACGAGGAATTAAAAGTTTGAGAAGACATTGTCGATGACGATAAAAGCAGATAGCAAGAGTATCTACAGATATTTATTGAGGGGAATTTAGAAAGGAAGAGAGTAAGTAAATATGAGAATTAGGCCTGTAGAGAGTGAGAATAGAGACTTATTAACAGGTAATAAGGAAATGGTGGTGAAATGAATGATTATTTTACTTCTGTCTTCACTATAGAGGATACAAAGAACATGCCAGTAACAGCTGTAAATTGAGAGTTAGAAGGGAGAGAGGAACTTTGTCAATTCACCATCACAAGGGAAGCAATCCTGAGCAAACAGCCATGGACTGACAAGTCCCTGGGTCCTCGGGGACTAAATCTCAGTGTCTTTAAAAGAGGTGGCTGTTTAACAAGCTAACAGATGCATTGGTTTTAATTTTCCAAAATGCGCCAAATTCTGAAAACGTTCTGTCAGACTAGAAAGTAACTAATATAATCTCTCTTATTCAGGAAGGCAGGCAGAAAACAGGAAATTATTGAGATAACAAGGTGTAGAGCTGGATGAACACAGCAGGCCAAGCAGCATCAGAGGAGCAGGAAGGCTGACGTTTCAGGCCTAGACCCTTCTGAAGATAACCTTGAGAAGATAACCATCACTTTGAATCGCTAGTTGCGGTTTGACTCAGTTGATTAAGCCACACAGGGAGCAGTGAAGAGTGACCCAGCCTATTGTGACCCCTTGCTTATGTTTCGTACAACACCTTTTCTTTTAAAGCCTCTGCTCTAGCCTGCCGTCGTGAGATTGAGGGAGCGCGTAAATTGCTGTCGTGAAGCAATCAAGTCTGTCTTTGAGATCGTCCTCCCTCTTGCTAAACTGCGTGGGGAGCAAAGTCTTTGTACTCTTGCTCTCTTCAAAATGAGTGCCAGACTGAGGAAGCCCCTGTTGGGCTGACTCACTCACGGACGTAGAGCTCGTGGCTATGGAAACTTCCAGTTTAATTACTGGAAGAATACTTGTACAGGTTTACATGGACAGTACTGCCGAGTCTTTTCCTTGATCCCTGGTAAGATCTTGGAGAACAGATTCTGTTGGACTTTGAAGATTACAGCAGATGGCTCAGTGGTTGGGGTGGCACGGTGGCTCAGTGGTTAGCACTGCTGCCTCACAGCACCAGGGACCTTGGTTCGATTCTACCCTCAGGCGACCAACTGTGTGGGTTTACACATTCTTCCACTGTCTGCATGGGTTTCCTCTGGGTGCTCCAGTTTCCTCCCACAGTCCAAAGATATGCAGACTAGGTGGATTGGCCATGCTAAATTTCCCATAAGCGTACAGGGAAATGTAGATTAGGGGATGGATCTGGGTGGGATGCTCTGAGGGTCTGTGTGGACTTGTTGGGCTGAAGGGCCTGTTTCCACACTGTAGGGATTCTATGAATGAGACTCTGTTGCTACAATGGATTGTACTTTTACCATTGAACGAACAGTCTGAGCTCTTAATCATGCTGCCTGTGCAGAGCTGTTCCTCATTAGTGAGTATTTATCCAGCTTTGTGTCGAAGAGTGAATGTAGAAGCATTACAAAGAAATAGTGATTCACTACCTTCAGCACCAGCTCCCCCTGCCCCACTATTGCTCATCTCTGCAGCAAGCAACCCTCCCCTCTTTCATCTGACAGCTGGAATAGCCCAGAGGCTGTGTGTATGTGCCAATGATGTTAGGGGTGTGCCACACTATTATACATTTATACAGCAGTTCTGTAATTGGTTTGAATTTCTCACACGCATAGACTGGTTATTACAAGCAGCGTTTAACTTTGATGGCCGAATGCCAAGGCTGAGTCTATCACAAACCAGAGGTGCAAGCTCTCATCCTTATCCGTGCTTCCAGGAAGGTCGACCTCCTCTCTAACAGTTCTCTTCTTCCCTAGGGGCTTCTTCCACAGACTCCGAGTGTGAGAGAGATATGTTTAAGCCACATGCCGGAACCATGCCTCAGTAAGTGTGCAAAGCCGAAACAGTAAATGTGTGCATTAGTCTAACATCAAGTGCAGATCCGATTGTAACTGTGTATCTGTCCAAGACTTCAGGCACCAATGCATGTTCTGATGGTCGATTATGCACCATGCAGACGCTGTGTAGTTGCATCTTGTATTATGCCACTTAGAGGATGCCAGGTACTGACTTGCGAGGAGGCAGTGCATGTTCACCATGTCATATTTTAACTCTTCAGCTGACCTACAAAGAAATTGATCCTTTGGCAGCATATGTATGTCTGATAATAATACTGATGTGTTTCTCAACTGTTTCGAATTTAATGTGTCATAAGAATGCTAGTCCAATGTCCTTTCCATTTTTATTCTTTCGTGGGACGTGGGGATTGCTGATAAGGTCAGTGTTTGTTACCGATCCCTAATTGCCCTTGAACTAACCAGCTTGCTAGGGCCATATCAGGTAGCCTTAAGAGTCAACCACATTGCTGTGGGTCTGTTAGCTGTGGGTCTGTTAGATTCATGGCACCATTCCTGAAACTTGTTTTAGAGTTTGGGCTTTATCGACTGAATTTAAGTTTCACCAGCTGCTGCAGTGTTGGGTTTGAACCAATGATAATAGCTCATTCTGCTGACTATTAGTCCATAACATGAACACTACAACACAACATGCCCTACCAGAACTCCTTCTGTACATACTATACCTGTGTATGATGATGTCTCTTTCAGATGGCCAGTGGAATTAAGAATGGAGACCAAACAATCCCTGAGAAACATTCCATTGCTATTGTGTGTCTCCTCACGTAGGACAGCCACCAAATATTGACCTTCCCAAAGTCACTTACTTCCCATGAAATTAATTCCAAAAATTAATTTAGTTACACAAATTTTCTGAACTGTTTTAAGAAAAGGTGCTCTGAATTGGCTGGACTGAGGTTGTTGATGTGCAGGAAAACTCCTAATAAGAGGGGTGGGAGGTAGAAGATATATCAATGGTACCTACAACTGGCAAAATAGCATGGTGATAGATGACCAGCATTGAATGTTAAAGGAGGTTCAATTGGCTGAATGGCCTGCTCCTGCTTCTGTTTCCTATGTTCCTGAGCACCCATAGCTTTGCACGTACCAATCCTGTATAGGAATTGTCTTCAACAGCTGAAGGAGGACATTTTACGACATCCAAATGTTTGTTGTGTTATGCAATGCAGATGCACCTATCCAAGACCTTGGAGAGGGTGCTTATTTGGTTTAGCACCAACGATAGAGAACTTCAGTTCCATGTAGAAACTAGAGAAGGTGCAATTGTTCTCCTTCCAGCAGAGATTCAATGAGGTCTTCAAAATCCATGACTATTCAAATAGGGTAGAGCTAGGAGACCTGGGTTCTAGTCCCACTTGCTCCAGAGATGTGTAAATGATATTGCTGAGTGGGTTGATTAGAGAATATCTAGACAGTGAGAAAATGTTCTCTCACTGAATATTTCTTCACTGACTGGTGTTGGTAACAGCAGGGAACACCAATTTAAGTTAATTGGCAAAAGAACAATCAAGTTGAACAGAATGTTTTTGATTTTTATGAGGTTATGATTGGGAACATGCTGCCTGAAAGTACAGTGGAAACAAATTCAGTAATAACTCCTAAAGGGAACTGGATAAAAAGACAGTGGGGAAAGAGCTTAAGGAGTGGAACTAATTGGATGGGTCTTTTAAAGAGATGGCACCAGGTAAGATGGGCCAAATGGCCTTCTTTGGTGCTATTCTATGAAGTGATCTTTGTACCAGTCACATCAGCACCTGCTTAACTGTATACAATTTGCAATGCACTGCAGTTGGAATGAATTAGAGAGGTTGAATTGTTGGACCTTCAATATGTTGCATCCCAATGTCAAGCAAGACAGAGAGCCTCATATTCTCCAGAACAGCCATAATAAGCTCCCTGTTTCATGCCAGCTCTCCGCGTGTTTTATTCACGGATATCACCTCACCAAGTTGTTCAACGGTCCGCTAGGTTTTTAACAACCAGTTACAGAATTTGTCAATGACCCACCAACTTCAGTTAAAAATTACTAACTGCTATATTCGCTTCCTGTGAGGCACCTGGTGTGAAATGGAAACCTGTGCCTTATTTCCATGGAGCCAGGGAGGGAATGTGTTGCTCGCTGTTCCCTTGGCACCACTGGCGTAGTGACAGCTGGGCTGCAAATTTAGCGAACAGGAGAGGAATGAGGTGGTATTTATCCTTTTGTTTTTAAATTAAAAGTGTATCGCTATCAGCAAAGAGCAGAGCTAGTTTTTACCTCATTCAATCTTGCATCATCCTGCAAACCGTCCTCTGACTTTACGACAACAAAAACTTACATTGTTTAGCGCCTTCAATATAGTAATGCATTTCTAAGCACATTTTCCCTAATTGACAACAATCTATATTGATGACAGCATAAAGGATGGGATTGAATAGCACTTGGAAAAGGAATGAAAGGAGGTAGGGAAAAGGCAGAGAAATTCGATTTGAGTAGATTAGCTCTATAGTGGAACTAACACGAGAATAAACATGATGGGCCATGATTCTTCTGGAAAATACATTTGATTTAATTGCTGAGGAGAGGTTTGGAGGACAGGTTTCCACAAGTTGCTCTTGGGAGCAGCTACATGCCTACAGAAACAAGGAGGTGCATTTTCCCATCCCAAATTGGGGCAATTTTCTTCTTGAAGCATTGATTGAACCTGCCTGTACCGCACTCTCTCAGGCTATGCATTTTTTTATTCTCTCTATCTACTCTGTTCAATCTCCTCCTGACTTTGAACAACTCTATCAAATCTGTTCTTGACCTTCTGTTCTCCGAGGATATATTCCCAACTTCTCCAGCCTATTCAGTAACTCACCCGCTAACCACCCTCGCAAATCTTTTCTGCACCCTCTCTCCTGCCTTCTTGTCAATCTGAAAGTGCTGTGCCCAAAACAGGATGCACTGCTCTAGTTGAGGCCAAGCCAATGTTTTCTGGACGTTTATTATACCTGTGTTGCTTTTCTTCTCTATACCCCTCTTGATAAAGCCCAGTATGCCCTATACATACTGGGTCAGGTTGGGCTGATAGGTAGCAAATAACATTCACGCCACAAATGCCAGGCTCTGACCATCACCAGTAAGAGATAATCTGACCACCGCCCCTTGACATTCAATGGTGTTACCATCACTGAATCCCATACTATCAACATCCTGGGAGTTATCATTGATCAGAAACTGAACTGGACTCGCCACATAAACACAGTGACTACAAGAGCAGGCCAGAAGCTAGGAATACTGTGGCAAGTAACTCACCTCCTGACTCGTCAAAGCCTGTCCACCATCTACAAGGCACAAGTCAGGGGTGTGATGGAATAGAACAAAGAACAAAGAAAATTACAGCACAGGAACAGGCCCTTCGGCCCTCCAAGCCTGCGCCGATCCAGATCCTCTATCTAAACCTGTCGCCTATTTTCCAAG